CCGTAACTACATAGTTTGTTGATAAGAATCTTGTGTTTGACAGTATCAAAGGCTTTGGATTGATCCAGAAATGTTCCGAGAATGTAACTATTGTTTTCAAAACCATTTAGAATTTGGTTCGCAAGATCAATTACTGCATGCTCCGTGGAATGGTTTTTGCGAAAACCAAACTGTTTATGATAAAGAATGTTATTAGTTTCAAGATAATTGTACAGCCTGTTGTGCATAATACGCTCTAGTATTTTAGAAAAACAGGAAAGTATGGAAATTGGTCTACAGTTAGATTTTATCGAATCATCGCCGCTTTTGTATATTGGAATTATTTTTGCTAGTTTTAGTTGGTCAGGAAAAATGCCGTTTCTTAGGGAAAGATTAAAAATTATAAAAAGAGGTTTCTCAATAATATCACAAACCGGTTTTACAACATCGGGGTTAATTTCATCTAGACCCGCACTCTTATTTGTTTTCAACATACTAATTGCTAGCCGAAGTTCATCAACCAGAAGCTCCGACTCATCCATTATGGAACCTGATTTTTTCAAAAAGGATTCAAATGATTTACTCCCCTCAGGAATTGCACTGGCTAGTTTTTTCTCTATATTTATAAAAAAGTCATTAAATGTTTCTGCAATTTCTTTATTTACAAAAGGATCTCCTATATTACCATCTCTTTGCAATCTTTTTGGGAAATTATCAATTTTTACATTTCCTACGCCTGTTATTTCTTTAATTACATTCCATGTTTTTCTTGCATTTCCAAATGTTTTATTAAGCTATAAGGAATAGTAATTTTTTTTTGATTGCTTTTTTAACTTTTCGAAAGAATTTTAATTTTTTGTATTTTATTTCATTTTTGTAGTTCTTTTTTTTAAAAATTTTTTGGTAAAATTTTTGTTTCTTTTTTGATGACTTAATGAGTCCTTTCGTCCACCCACGGACTAAGCAAATTTTTAGAATTAATAATTTTTTTAACTTTTGGAAAGACTTTTTCGTATTGCTTAGGAAACACGCGAATAAAAAAATCAAAGCCATTATTTACATCATTGCAATCAGTCAATAGTTCCCAGTTTATTTCTTGTAGGAGGTCGTGAAAAGTGACGATTGATTCATTATTTATGTTTCATACAGAAATAGTTTTTGTTTCTATTTTTTTCTTAGGGGTTGCCGAATCTGTGATCAGAAAAACTAATATGCTTCCAGTGCAGTAACGATAGTTGGTTTTATAAACCAACTATCGTTACAACTTTATATTTGTATGGTTAAAAATGCGGATTTTAATTTTGTTTATTTTATTTTTAATTTCAGAATTAATTGTCAAGAATATTGGAAAATGGTCAGTTATATCAGATTTTAGGATACCTGTTTGAATATCATTGTTGAATATATCTGTTGTAATAATATTATCAATCAAAGACGCCGAGTTTTTTGTTACTCTAGTTGGCCTGTTTATTAAAGGAATTGCTCCCGCCTCAAAAAAGGAGTCGTAAAAGTTTTTTAATTTTGTTATCTTCATTATAAAGAAAATAATTCATATTTAGGTCTCCAATAATGAAGTTCTTTTTGTTTTCTTTAATACCTTTTTTGAAAATACTTTGTTCAAAAAAAACGCTCAAGTTCTCGCTCACGCCGTCAGGTGGGCGATAACAACAGCTTAATAATATGTTTTTAGATTGATTGTTCATAATTTCAATAGTCAAAATTTCTTTATCGCTATCAGAAGCACTTAAATCATTCCTAACGTAATAAACAATATTTTCACTCACATATAAGGACTCCTCCGCCGCGTTTATTTACTTGTCTTTTAAACGAAATTAATTTAAAATGAGGAATATAAAAGTTCGAAGTATTATCTATGTTATTTGAAATCCAGGTTTCAGTTAAACAAACTATGTTAAAACGATTTTTGGTTTCCTCTAACAAGTTTAAAAGTTTTTCAAAATTGTTATTAAGACTTCGAATGTTTACGTGTAGTATCATAATTTTATTTAAACATTTGTCATAAACATTTTTAAAAAGAAACCCTTCTAAATCGCTTGGAAAGTGATATGAGCAATCCGTAAGCGCCTCGTAGGAATAGTTTATATCGGGGTCTATATTTACATCATTTATTTCATTAAAGTTAAAACGCATGGATTCAAAGCCATGCTTTTTTTTTAAAGATAATTTTATTTGGGCATTTACTTTTAGAAAGGCTTCTTTTTAGGACTTAAAGTTAGGGATGGAATTTTTGAATTCTCTACAAAAAATTTTATCATACTTGATAATGGCGTACTTTCCTTCACCGCGTAGACGTTTGACTTCTTCCCATAATTTTTTGCGACTCTCGATAGTTTCCTTTGCGAAATCTTCGTTGATGAATACACCAAAACCTTTCAAGTTTTTAACAGCGTTAAGAATCTTGTTCTTGTCTTGATAATTTAAAAGTTTCAGAACTATAGTTCTAGGTATTTTACTATCTTTTGTTTTGCCTACTCTATGTGCTCTTTCTCAACAACTTCGCAATTTATTTTTAGTTGGTTTTTAAAGATATCTTTAACTGTATCCTCGCATTCAGTCCAGGTTTTACCTGCTTTTTCTTTTACTCCATCTATTCGCAGATTGTTTTGTCGAGATCTGTTTTCGAGATCGATTGTTTTTTTGGTAAACATATTTAGTTCGTTGTCATAACACTTTCTAATTTGTTTTATTTTATCTATAAGGTTTGTTTCTTGGAAGTTTAATGTTGTTTTGACATCGTTCAGAGCTTTTTCGATATTCATAATGTTGGATTTATTATTTGTTACATATATTTCAATTTTCTCTATTCTTTCCGTTAATATTTTCAAGTTTGCACTCATTATCGACGCGAAGCTTTTTTCTTATTCTTTCAACAACTTTTCTGCTTCTTGTAATATACATATCTTTTGTTCCTCCAACTTCTTGATAATTAATTTTTCTATATTTTTAAATGAGGTTTCCATGTTTAATTTAAAATTTAACACGCTGTAGAAAAAACGCGATAGTTCGCTTCAACACGCTGCTTGAAAAAAGTTCCATCTCATATTCCCTGTATTGTGCGACAATAAGTCTTAATAGATTCCACAACATTATGTGCTTTTTTAAGATTTGATGATAGTAATACATCGTAAAAATGAAGTTAAGGCGGCTTCAAGTCGCAATTTGTGGACAATTTTAAAGGCCAATTTGTTCCAGAGGCTTAAGCCTTCAGGAAATTTGTTTATTAATGAACAATTATATTCTTTTCAAGGGTGTACAGGATTTATTTAACATATGCCATAAAAACCGGTTAAATATGTAATCAAAATATGGTAATGATTTTGCGACGAAAAAATATTTGCGATGTGGAAAATGCTTATCTATTGCAAGGTATAATATACACTGGTAAAACAAATGATACCAAAGAAAGAAATCAGGGAAGTAAAAGTAATAATAAAAATATACATCCCTAGTGTTGTGCTTTACTTACTTGTCAGTCAATGTATATAAACAGTAAAAAAAAATTTTAAATATTCGGAACGTTTTTTATTTCTTTTTTTTAAAATAAAAACATTCTGTTTTTAAGAACATTCCAGCCTATTAATTTACGTTTTTGTGTTTTTTTTTTTTACTTAAAAATGTAATTTTAAAATGCGTAATCACGGTTACAGACTTCAGTTTAACAATCCCACAGTAAAACAATTTTTTGTAGATGACCAGCAGGTGCCATATTAGTGGGACTAATTAAGCTTTGAAAAGTTAAGGAATGAAAAAAAAAAGAAAAAAAAAAGAATGCGTTTTGTGGTGGTGGAGGATAAAATCCCGAAAGATATTGAGAAAACATTGAAATACTCATTAGATTGGAATAACCTAAAAGAACTGAAAAACATTTTAAAACTATAAAAGAAAACATTACAAAATAATTTCTATTCTTCCTTTCAAACTTTAAACAATTTTTTACTTTTACCTTGTAAAAATATTTACAGTAGGTGGTTAAGAAAATAATAATAATAATAATAATAATAATAAAGTTCACGTATTAATGAATTATTTATTAATACTTTATTAATTAGAATTCATATATATATTTAAAGAAAGAAATATAAAAATTCTAGCTTAAAAATTAAAAAAAAAAAAAAAGATACAAACTAATCTATCCAATTTAGATGGATATATAATAAGTAAATAATAACTGACGTGAAAAAAATCTCGAAACCGTGTGAAAAAATCCTTTTCTAACGTATCTTGTTTCTTATTTTTCATTCAAATTATACTAGGGTTTTAAATTATAGAAAAGAGATATAAAAATTTAACTTTTATGATTTTTAATTAAAATTAGAAATTGATTTTCACGTTTAATATTTCTATATTAAAATCAGATATGTAATTATAACTGTACTTACACTTTTTTTAAATATTTTTTCTTTGAAAAAAATATATTTAAAATAACATATATTTACAAGATATAAACAATAAATATTAAAATTACTTATTAGCTAATAGTTGACTATACCAAATTATTACCTAAACATGAATCATTTATAATTCTTGTTAAAACCGTGACCATGATATCAATTAAAATCATTCTTAAAACAATATTTCAAAATAAAGATTCGACGATAAAAAAAAAATTATCAAAATTTCAAACAAAAATTAATTGGTTTCGAAATCTACGCTAACTATTCATATTTTATTATGAAAAAATCTAAATTTAATTTTGATGGTTTAGCGCTGTTTGAAATTTATTATAAAAAACATTAAAAGTACGAAATATATATATATATATATATATATATATATATATATATATATATATATATATATATATATATATATATATATATATATATATATATATCTGAATACTATAATTATATTTAAAACATATTTATAAAAATAACTTTTATAAAGATATTACTTTACTTTTAAATAGATTTTAATAAAATAATCATTTATATAAAAATATCACTTTATACTTTAAATTAATTTGATGTTTTTGAAATAAAAACTTATAATAACCGTATAAGGTTCTGGCAAATATTAAATCACGTTTCACTAACCAATGAATTAAATTTTTTAACGTAATGACGCTTTAAATTTTCTTGAGCGTTGTTTAAATGGACTGTGCGGTCCCAAGTGACTTCGTGACTTCTTAATGCCATCTAAAATATACAGATATTTTTACTGCATGCAATTAAAAATCATTTTTTGAAGCCATTTAAAGATCACAAATATTTTTTATGCAATCTAAAAACAATACCCAGCAATAAATTTTACCGAAAGAAAAAAAAAAACCAATAAAATACAAAAAGAAAATGAAGAAAATTAAACTTTTTACAGTGTTAGTATTCCTTATAACATTAAGTGTTCCATATTCATTGAGATTTACAATCAACTTCAACTGAAAGGAACGAAAAAATTCTTCTATGAAAGTATTATATAAAGCTTATGAGTACAATTGCCTGCTGGAAGTTATCCATTAAAACTTTTTACCCTACTGCATGCATGGTAAATAACTAACTGAAAAAATCTGTAACGTATATATATTTATGAAAATTTTGAAGAATATTTCTCGACAAAATATCTTGAAACAATTAGAAACAATTCTAAAGTTACAAAATAATTGTCAAGTATACTTTTAGTAACACTACTTCATTTTTAAACATTTAGACTCAAGTACAAAATACAACTTTAAAAACTCATTTAGAAAACTGTTTGGAAAAAAATATTTTAATAACGCAAATAACCTTATGTCTAATATTTCTTATTCATATTTATACCAAATATTTCAATAATTAGAAGTTATGAAAAAAATAAACCAAAATTTCTGCTCACCCATAAGCATAAATAAAAAATATGAGAAAAAAATTATTATAAAATTTTAATATTTGAGGTAGCTTAAATTGCAAAAATAAGATTATAAAAACAACTTTAAATAATGTAATATGGTCCTAATAATGCTTTCATAAAAATATTTTTTTGGTCTTTTCAGGTTTGTGATTGTGATTTTTACAGGGTGTGAGTGCTGATAACACCATTCAATAAAGGCTTTAAGTAAGAAGGGGAAAAGAAGACAGGGAAAGAGATTACATAGAGGTATGGATAGAGATAAAGGAATAATGTAATAAAAAGTTGGGTTTTAAATTATACAAAATTTGGAATTCTTAGAACTGATTTTTTGAAGAAATTTATTTTTGCAGGATAACAGAAAATTAAAATAATAGAAAATCTCACTTGCCTTGACCTCTTGAAGAAACTGAATAAAACTTATTATGGTTTAAAATATGCCAAACAACAAATTGGCACAAACTTTAGGAGCATGTTTTATTATAACTTTATATAATATAATTAAAAACACAGCCTGCTGTAACCAACTTATTTATTTTTGATTAATTTAAAGTGGATATTTTTAATATGTTTTGAAGTACCACTTTCAACCTGTATCTCTCTCTGTGCAGGGGCTTCATTAAATGTTTGTGTTTCAGAATTTATGGTTGAGAAAGAGTTGCAAATAAAGTTAAAAATAAAACTTTTCGACTTTAGGGAGTACTTTGACTCCCTCCTCTGGAGCTTTGGAGAGATGTTCATCATTTATAAAATTACAAAGGGTTTTAATTGCAAATAAACACTTTTGAAATAATAATTTTCAATTTGAAATAATAATTTTCAAAGGGTATTTATTTAGGTTAGGTTGCATTCATCAAAAGTTTTTTTTTTTAAATACTAAGCACCTTATTCATTACTCTTATTAAAACTTTCGAACAGATTGAGAAACAATTGTAGCACCAATAATATGGATAACACAGAACCAATAATATATAAATATAACCAATAATATAAATAACACATCATGCAGAAATAGTGATAACACCAGTAAAAATTTTAAATGTTTTTGTATCCATGTCTTTATTGCATAAGTATTTATGTCTTTGGAATGCAAAGTTCCAATAAAAAATCTGTTTAATATTAAATACAAAGAGTAAGTTTTTAACCAAAAATATATTTACTACTTACAATCGTGTACTTTGGTGATTCAAAAAACAACATAATCAAAATTTTTTGCAGCTAGCATCTTAAGGTGTTTTTTATAATAAAATAACACTGCATTTGAAAGTTTTTTAAATAAAAAATATTTTTAGGGGTGACTCAAGACTAAATCAACTAATATACTTAATCAAGTCAACTAAAATCGACTAATACATTTTTGAAATCTAAACCTAAACCCTCGACTAAAATTCGTGTTGAAGTATGGGAATTATTTTTTATTTTTAAATAAACAGTAATAAAAAAAAAAAAGGTAATATATATTTACTTTCAATTTTTTTATATAATATCATTTAAATAATAATGAAGCAAAACAATATAAGAGAAGGGCTGCTCTGACAACAGGACAATCTACTCCCAGACCCCAATGATTTAGAGACCATCTTAAATACTTGCTATATACCAAAAAGTTATTACAATCATATTTATAAATGACATTTAGATTTTGAGCTTTACAATTTAGTTTTGCCCAAGGACCCAGAGCCAGCTTGGAGGAAGCAAGGACCCTGAGCCAGCTTGGAGGAAGCAAGGACCCTGAGCCAGCTTGGAGGAAGCAAGGACCCTGAGCCAGCTTGGAGGAAGCAAGGACCCTGAGCTTGGAGAGGCTCTGTATGAAAGTATTTATGAAAACCATAATCAATAATCGATTAAAATCGACTATTCCAAAAATTTAAAACCTAAAAAACCATCCCCATCACCTAAATATTTTAATATATCTTTTACAAATATTTGCGGTCTACAAAGCAACTTTCCATCAGTTGAGTCTTACCTCCTGCAAAATTCACCAGACTTGCTTGCAATCAGTGAAACTAATTTAAATTCTGCAATTCCTTCTTCAGATGTCAGTGTTGATGGGTACTATCCTTTGATTCGTAAAGACTCAAATAGTCACATGCTAGGTTTAGGGGTATACATACGCATTAATTCCCCTATTTGATGTGAAATCAGGTCCGAATCCTTTGACCATTCTTTTATGTGCTTTTGTCTAGCACCTCTTCACTTTATCACCTTTCTCTTTGTTCTTTATCATTCTCCTTCTTCCCATGATTGAACTCTCTTAGATGTTACCTCTGATCAAATTGATATGCCCTCTCTCTTTACCCCTCTGCCAATATTGTTGCTGTTGGTGATTTTAATACCCATCACACTGAATGGCTTGGCTCTAACACCACTGATCCTGCTGGCACTAAAGCCTTTAACTTCTGCGTTTCTCAATCTCTTACTCAGATAGTTAACTTTGTGACTCATTTTCCTGACAACCCTAATCTATTACCTTCACTCCTTGACTTATGTCTTGTCTCTAACCCTAGCTTATATTCAGTTTCTCCCTTTTCTCCCTTAGGTGGTTCTGACCATGCAATGATCTCTATAAATCTTTCTTCTCGTACTTTTTTTTTGGGTTTACCTTATCATCGCCCACCTACTACTACCCTAAAGCTGACTGGGATTCCTTTCGTGATTTTCTTTATGATGGTCCTTGGGCTGATGTTTTTTCTCTCTCAGCTGACAAATGCGCCTCCTACGTAACCTCCTGGATTCAGGCTGGAATGGAAGCTTTTGATCCTTCGCGCCGGTTTCAAGTCAAGCCTCATTCTACTCCATGGTTTTCTCCTTCTTGTACGGCTGCTATATCCAATCGTAATCATTTTTTTCATCTTTTTAAAAAGAACAACTCTCTTGAGAACAAACGGCTATTTATTATTGCAAGAAATCGATGTAAAAAGGTGCTTTCTGATGCTAAACTCCATTATTCTCAGTTCACTAAATCTCGCATTTTATTGCAGAAGTTAGGCTCTAAAGACTTTTGGAAAATCTTCAACAGCATTATTAACAAGGGTAGATCTAACATTCCATCTCTCATTCATGGGACTGATCTTATTACCTCTCCCAAGGATAAGGCAGAACTATTTGCAAAGAACTTTTCTTCTAATTCCACTCTTGAATATTATGGACATTCTCTTCCTTCCATTCCAGTCAAACAGGTTGACCCATTGTTAGACATTCAAATCACTCCGGCTTCTGTTGCTAAAGCCATATCTCAATTAAACTCGTCTACAGCTTGTGATCCAGACAACATTCCTATCACAGTCTTGCAGAATTGTTCTCCAGAACTTTCTTCAATTCTCGCTAAACTATTTAATAAGTGTTTGACTGAGTCTTGTTTTCCTGCTTGTTAGAAAATGGCATCTGTGGTTCCAATATTCAAAAACTCTGGAGAAAATTCTGACCCCTCCAATTATCATCCGATCAGTCTTCTTTCTGTTATTTGCAAGGTCTTTGAGTCTTTGATTAACAAATTCCTCACATCTCATCTTGAGTCAAATAAACTGCTGTCAGACAATCAATACGGTTTTCGATCCTCTTGCTCTACGGCTGACTTGCTAACTGCTGTAACTGAAAGATTTTATTGTGCATTAGATGGAGGCGGTGAGGCTAGGGCTATTGCTCTCAACATATCTAAAGCTTTCGACAAAGTTTGGCATGCTGGTCTTCTCCATAAGCTTGCTTCATATGGTGTTTCTGGGAAAGTTTTTGAGATTATCAAATCATTTCTTTCTAACCGGTTTATTAAAGTCATCCTTGAAGGCCAACACTCTTCTTTATTTCCAGTAACTTCTGGGGTTCCTCAAGGTTCCATCCTGGGCTCTGTTTTGTTTCTTATCTACATAAACGATCTTCCTGACAACCTTTCATCTAAATAAGCTCTTTTTGCTGATGACTCAACTTTAAACGATTCACTTTCTCTTCTTGACAAGGTCCAAAAACCCATTGTAAATGTTGTTGGACCTGGACTATCTGCTAAGCTTGAACCTCTTTCCCATCGTCGTAAAGTTGCATCTCTTTCTCTTTTCTACAAATACTATCATGGTCACTGCTCAAAGGAGTTATCATCTCTAGTTCCATAAACTAAAATTCATTCTCGTTTTACATGTCATTCAGCTAAGTCTCATTCGTTTACTATGTCTGTCCCTGCATGCTCTAAAAACTTTTATTCATCTAGTTTTTTTCCCCGCACTTCAATCCTTTGGAACTCTTTCCCATCTTCATGTTTTCCTGACTCATACAACCTTCAACTTTTCAAGTCTTCTGTCAACCGTTTCCTTGCTCTATAACTCTG